CGGCCTATTACTGCCCAGGCCCAATTCAAAGTGCTCATGCTTTATATAAAGCCTTAAATGACTTGGGACTGGGAGCACCTAAGGGAGCCCCTGTTTCCATATATCCCTGCCAGACCACTCAGATCATCAATGGAGGCCCTCCTTTGTGAGCCCCCCACCCGCCCAAATGAGGTGAGGGGAGAATTGGTGAGGAAAAGGGCCTACTCTGTCCTCACAGCTCACCTTTGGAATACCCTTCTGAAAGAGGTGCAACTGGCACCCACATTATGCTTTTGTCACCAAAACAAGGCCTTTTTATTTAGTATTTGTTTTTAAGATTATGATTTACTTGGTTTTGCTGCTGCTTTATTATTTTATTGGTTTGTTCTTGATATTATATTTATCCTCCTGTTGCATTTGATACAGTACTTCTTATTGTATTATGTATTGTGCTTTTAGCTGTTACTGTTTATCTATTTTTATCTCTTATCTCTGTGTTGTCAGCAATGTGAGCTTCCCAGAGCTCCACCGGCTAGGGGAATGATAAACAAATAAATAAATGCGATAAACAAATAAATAAAAAAGTTTGTCAGCGATAGAAATGCAGGCAACAGCTTTTTACTATAACAGCTTCTTCCATATTTGACAGCCATTGCTTTCGACATTCCGCCCTGCCCATGCTTAATTTTCAGAAAAGCAAATGCGGAATTTGACCTATTTGGTTAGAGTACTGCCTTCGAGTCAACTTGGACTACAACTCTCATATGCCCCAGGCGGTATGGCCACTGGTGACAGATTATGGGAAAACAGCGAGTTGCTTATCCCCACAAATAGTTAAAAGAAATAAATGAAAATTACTATTGATGGAGCGGGGCGAGGATGGGCAATGTTAAGTCTGATTCCTGGCAGAAGTGAAAGCTTGTCTCTCTCGCACAGTTTATAATATAAGCAAATGTAAATACGTGCAATTCCCACTCAAACTGTACTTGTATAAAGGCAGAAGAATACATTTGGTGCCCAGTTAGAAGAGTTCGCCTTCTTCTTATGAATTATCCATATAGGGAAGGGACGGGTCTTTTGTGGAGCGATTTGCTAGAAGTCGAGAGATTACCATTTGCCAAGGACATTCCGCGCCTGGAAGACAAAGTTCTACGAGGCTTTTTAAAAAGTAATTATTCATTAGCGGGGCGTGGCCAAACAGGAGGGCGGGAGAGTTCTGCTCGAGCAGAAGAGGAAGGGGGGAGCGTGGAAGGCGGGAAATTTAAAGAATGTATTTCTAAGGGAGAGTTCATAGCTCATTTGACAGATTCTGAGGAAAACTTGATGAGAGAGAGAACATTCTTCTGTGGTCAATAAGTGCCTGCTGTGCGTATAGATGCAAGCACATATAGACAAGTTCTCCCTGAAGTATTAACATAATTTTCTTTAACAGAAGTTTGCATTTACACATAGTAAAAAGCATGTTATATGCTCACATCTCCTGAATTTTAAGAAAGGAAGCATTACTTATGGAACTAAATTATTTATCTAGTCCATTACTTTAAAATATGACTAATTTGTAGCTAGTAGGATGTTTTATTAGGGGAAACATGCTTATATAAGTATGTTTAGTTTCCTAATATACTTCTGTTTCATTTTCCATTTTATTTCCATGAGGGAGAAACTCCCTCTAAAGTCATATTAATTATACTATTAATTATAATTATAAGTGTCACCTCACTTGCTCTATCTCCAGAGACATGAGACAAACATAGCTAATAAAATGTTGTGATTCCATCTTATTACTGCATATAATATTCCATAAATTCTGAATACAAGCATTTTGTTATTGTATTATTATTGTAATAAAATATTTTATTTATTTATTTATGAATTGTTTTACAGACTAATGGTTATGTGACAGGCCGAGACACATTTTATCAGAGCGTCCTCCCTCCCCACCCAGAGAAAGGTTTTATGTGGAAAAACCTGTAACAGTCCCCTGAATTAATAAAGAAGACTAAAATTATTCATTAAAAATTGTTGACAGATTTGAGCAAAATTAAACAAATATCAATTACTAGAATTTTAAACTGAGGTAGCGGGCATGGATATCCCCTCCCCCACTCTTGTGACCTCAGTGTATGTTTTGCCTCATACAAAATTAAACTTTTTGCTATGCAGCTAAAACAGGGTTAAGTCTGCAATCCTATACACACTGGAGAATTGAACTCCAAGGAGTTTACTTCAAAGTAGCCATGTCCAGGATTGTGTTGCAGGTTTAAAATTTTCTTGTGTCTGTTTTAGATATATTATCATCTCATTGTATCCACCTAACAGGCCTATGTGAGCTTGAAAGTGGATTCACACATAAGAGAGGCTTGTTCAAACGGCTGCACAACACCACACTAAATGCATGTTCTTTGAAAATGCAGGTATACATTTATTTTCAGAAATCATTATCTGAATTTGCTATCTGAACCAAATGTCTCATGAGATGCTATGCAGGGTTGAGGTTTGTGCCTCATTTCAGATGAGACAAAAATTATCCTTGTGTCAGACTAATTGTCACAGGCTATGGCAGTTTTTAATACTATGATAATATTAATACAGTACTAAACTGCATGTGTTCTAGTATTATATAAAAAGCAAAAACAGAACTGTTGAAAGCAGGAAAGTAAAGAACCAAGTGACAGACTTTTAACATTAAAGAAGTGAAAGAGTATGATTCATTTCTCACAAGTATGTATGGAACAGAATATAGTTGTATCTTTTTTGTCCTTTCCATTCCTAAGCACTCTGTCAACTTTATCAACAGTCATACCCTTCAAATTGCACAAGTTTGGAGAGGTGACCACTGTTTTGCTGTGGTTCTACTCTAACCTGTAGATTTCACAAAGCTGGTGAAACAGGACTGGTGCTTGACCTCTCATGAGAACTGGTCTGTGTGGTGTTCGCTGCAAGGTTTCATCTTGTCTTTCATATTATTCAACATGTACATGAAGCTACCAGGAGAGGTGATTTGAGAGTTTGGAAGTACGCTGATCGTATTTCTCAAAACCTTGAAAAGGTGGTAGAAACTCTGAGCTGTAATGAGTAATGAATGGTATGAAGGCCAAGCAGCAGAAGCACAGTCCAGCTGAGACAACTGTTGATGGTAGATGGGACAGTCAACGTGGGGATGGAGATGAGACTGCAGGCCTGCAGCTCCTGGACCCAACCTTACTGCTTGATAGCTATAGTTTGGAATGTCTTTTTCTATGTTTCATGCATCTCCTGTTCATTTTTAAGGAAGGTAAAAGCCACAATCCAACATAATTTGGTAACCTCCAAGTACCCTACATGTGGCCACCTTTGAAGAATGTCCAGAAACTTCATCTGATCAAAAATATAACAGTCAGGTTGCTAACTAAAACTGGGACCACGTGTCAAATGACAATATTGGTTCCTTGTCAGTTGATACTCACAGTACAAAATAATTATGTTGAATTTGCAGCTTTAATGTTTGCATTCTGGGTTGTAGAGATCTGAAGCATTATCTCCCCTAATTTTCCACCTTCTCCTGGTGTATTAAGATCATCAGAGGAGGCCTTGATGAAGGTGCTGCCACCATCAGAGCCATCACTGGGAATGAATAAGGTGAAGTTCTTAGTAGTGCTAGCGTACCTCTGGAAGCCCTACCTAGGTAATATTGCATAGCCACATTATCCCTCATTCATTATACTGGTGAAAAAAGTATACTGTTGGGGAGGAAAAGTCTTCACTTCTGTTGTTTTATTGTGTACTTAAATGATGGGGTGTTTAACATTGCTTTTATAGTTTCTATGCTATGTTTAATTGGATGTAAGCCATCTAATAGTCTTGTTGGGAAGCAGGATAAAAATTTAATAAATTATAAGCCTTGCTTATTTTTACTGAGTCCTCACTCCCCAATCAAATTTGGAGGTTTAAGGACATACACTCATATTAGGAGAAAGTATCATTTCAGTCCAAATTACCCTCATTAGAAAAAATAATTTATAAAATGCCTAGAGAGAGTAAAGATCTGTCAAAATATTAAAACCACTGACAGAGATGATGCTTCTGGTGAGGCATAATGATAAATGCAAAGCACAACAACTATCTGTGTTATTGGAACTTATGTGCCATCACAGGATGTGAGAATTTATAAACCATTCAGAGTCGGAAGGTAAGTCCTGAATGTTGATCATTCCATTTCTGTGAATAAATCACAAAAGATATGTGCAAACTGTATCACTATGATTGTTATGTTTGCAAAGGTGAAACAGCTTTTCTAGCCTCCTCCAGTCTTGACTAAGCAGATTTTCATGCAAAAAGGATCCAGAGATTGATTAAAGTGCATAGAGGCCAAAAATCGTTGTATTAAATGCACAACATCATTTTGCATGAAGTCTATTTTTAATGCATAGATAGTATCCTGCCAGGACCAATCATTTATATATGTTTGAGAGAGGTAAAGTAGGGGTGGCTAGCACAACTAAAGACAGAAAATTGCTGCTCCCCAGTATATTTCATACTGATTCACCAGTTCATACTGATTATACCCGGTGGGATTTTTTAATTTGTCTTTTGTTTCTTTTGGGGTGTGGGATTGCCATGTAGCTTGTCTTGCTTAATTCAGTCTTCTGGAAATGTTTGGTCTGGAGACATCTTCTTGCAGTCCACCTGTTTTCAATACAGAAGTCAGTACTCTGACTTCTGTATTGCACAGGGTAGAACAGAAGAGTCTTACACTAAAGCCAGGCTTTTAAATCTTTGCTTCAGGGAACACTGACAGTACTTCAGAGGAGTCATGTTTATGTATTGCAATAGGAAATTACTAGTACAGATTGGTGAAGATGTTTGATATGTTGTATACTATCCCTATAGAATGCAAAATGTGTCCTGTTTGTGGAGCAACTGGATATTAATTAAGATACTATATACTAGCGCTTTAGCTCATGATTTGTTAGTCTCCCCAGTGCACATAATTTTTTAAAATTATTTTTCTTCAGGTTAGACTTGTGAGCCAAGGAAAAAGGATGGCAGCACCCACAAGAACCAGCTACACCTTGATTCCTAACCAGAAATATCGACGTAGCTCTCGTCATTCCAGAAAACTTAGTAACACCCAGGACACAGATTCTCCATCACTGTCAACACTTGGAAGCTTTAAAATACTTCCCTTAGAAATATTTCAGATGGTTTTAGAGTATTTGTCAGGTGAGAATTTGTGCTCATGTAGCCTTCTCTTAGCACATATGGAATAGCCCTATCCCACCTGACAAATACAGAATCTATTCCATATGTGCTAAGATACTATTTTGTGTTTATAGGATCAGGATACTAATTTAGGGTGCGATTGTACTCAGCTACTGCTGCTGTGAAACTAGAAAGAACACAAGGAGACTTGGGAGCCATATTGAACAAACCTGCATCCACTGGATCCTATGCCCCTTCATCATGTGGATACCCCTGAAGAATGGGATATGGGAACTAGCGTAGTTATTTTTCCTAGTGGGAGCAGGGCAAACACACAAGTGCACACATGCATGCATGGGCAAATCAGTGGGAATTTTTTCTTAAAGGAAAAAAGCCTCCTCTTTACCTTCTGTCTTGGCTGCTGCAATTCCAGCAAGACTTAGGGAATGGCAGTTCCTCCACTGCTCCACCTGCCAGTCTCTTAGCATTGCTTTGCCCAAACTACAGTCATTTTGTTTTTAAAATAGATTTAGATTCCTGTTGGCAGAATTAAAAGATTAATGGTATTTTGGAAAGATTTCATATTTAATTCATACATAATGCTAAGCCAAAATGGAATGCACACAGAGCACCAGGCTCAAGCAGTTCCCTCTTCAGCTTCTGTGCAGCTGGGAAGAGAAATAATCCAGGTTTCAGTTTTACTTTCCCAGTTCTTGGCTTGTTGTTACATGCAAATTAGGAATCATGGTTTAAATAAACTCTAGTTAGTTAAACAAGCCTATTACAGATCTAGGGTTTGTATTTAGGTTGTGTAGCAATTAATTCAAGATTTTTTAAAACCCCACAATTCCTCATTCACAAGTAACAACATGGAATAAGAAAAGCCATGCTGAATCAAATCAATGGTGTCTCCAGTCCAGCATGCTGTTCACATGGTGGCAAACCCACAGGATCCTGGTGTGTACAAATGTTCTGCCTGCTAAAGTAAAACTGAATCCTGATTTCTTCTTTCTCTTCCTTCTTCACAGGAGAAAGAGATGTGAAGAGTGTGCTTTGTAAAAGTTTCTTTCTGCTCATTCATATACTATGTCTTGACTTAGAATTAAGTGTAATGTAGCCATTAACTTTCAAGCTAAGAAACTGGGAATATTTTTTATCTCTCCTTTCTTTTAAAAATGTTAGATAAAAAATAACATTTGGGTTACATCCCTTGATGTACTATAGAATATCACTGCTAGAACAAAGGGACAGCAGTGTTCAGCTTGCCCACTAATACAGTTTTCTGTGAGTTAAAGCTAATTAGATGTGATGCAGAAGATTTATGGTGACATTTATTTGTTTGTTTGTTTATTTACTGGTCAAAAGTATAATCTTCTCCCATGGAAAACAGTGGAAGCCAACTAAACACAGTACTGATTGGCTGATGCCAGTGAAATCACAAACCAACCTTTCTCAAGAGCAATTTTGCAATTGGAAAAATTCAGTGTTTCCCCTGACTCACAACCAAATAAGGTGTCAACTACATAATTATGACAATGCCATTTTAAACAAGAAGTGAATGGGTTGTCTGAAGGATGGCAGGGGCAGCAAGACTAAGTTGGCATTGAAATTAGAGGCAATTATATCAGCCCTTGCAGTACAAAGGATGAGGGAAACTGGGTTCTCCTGTGGGCTGGAGGGGGGACACAGGGCCAGCTCCTGTTTTTAGGTACATCCAAAACCTCCTGTTTTAGACAACCATGGACTCTGCCATATTTTTTCTTTTGTACATCTCTGTTTCTCAGTGACATCTGCTTCTGTCTTAAAATAGTAGCTAAAGTACATAATAAGTGGAGAATTCTAGCAAAGTCTCAGCTGAATCTTATATGTGTGAGAAGAGAGGGCAAAAGAACACTTTGCTAGCATGTTGATATGGGAGGAAATAGCTGAGGTATAACGGGGTGCAGGCTATGCTAGAAGGCAGATAGTATGTCCTGTGGAGAATGGCTGAAATCTCCAAGGCTAATTTTTGACTCAGATAAATTCTCTACTGATGATCTCCCGTGTTTTGTTAGAGAATAAACTTGGTTTTCCCCCTCTTTTTCTCCTTTTGTTCAGTGAAGAATATCAGCATCTTAAGCATGGTATCAAAGACTATCAGCCACCGCCTTATTAATTACATCTCAACTCCTACAGGAAACAGAAGGTTTCTGCGGCAGGACTTTCATAACACTGAGTTATCTGGCTGTAGAAAAGAACCCTCTATCCTACAACACTACAGATCATTAGGTGACAAAACCTGTATCATTTAATTCCTTTTTCAAGTACACACAAATATTAAAATGTTCCAACTAAACAAAAAGAAGTTAAGATACAAAAACCTCAATTCACTGGGAGTGGAAAATACAGCCACAGATTGCATAACTGGAAAACTTAATAGTGCAGGATGGAAAGAGTATTTCCCTATGGCAACTGGGTATGCAAATAAAATCTAGAATTAGAGTAATATAGAGTAACAAGGATTAGTTTTTCAATAGATAGCCATAAATGGAAGTCTTAAAAGATTTTTGTTGGCGATTGGATTTCTGGACAGTGAAGAACAGAGGGAGCTCCCCAAAATGTGGGGGTTCTTCCTATTATGTTCTTGGATTGTGAAGTAATCTAGTTGATAATGAAGAGATTCTGTTAGACTGTTGCTGGATAGGTGGGAGTTTTCTCCTTTCTTAAATGAGTATGAGAGTTGAAATTGGAGAGGGGAAAAATCAGTGGAATTTTTAAGCCTCCTATCCATCCCCTATTTTTTTCTGCTGAAATTTCCCCAGCTGCTTTTTTATCCATGGAATTACACATATATTAACCTCTTGGAATATGTGCCTATTTGGAGAAAAGCAGTGTGTGGGGAAGCATCCCCAAACACACATGTTTATATTCTCAGTTGCCCCTCCTTAAACTGCTGTACCCTAATAGAGGCAGCCATTAGGGTTTTGTTCCACTTATGTTCATGTACATTGTAGTTCCTTTCTAGGAAACAGAAACCAGAGGAATGTGTCCTTTTACAAAATGTAGGTTGCCTTTGCCAACCCATCACCCATCGTTCACCTGGATGCTGTCACAAGTTTTGTGCTACATTCTTGCTGCTACATTTCATTTATCTGCTGCAAGGGTTTCCCGTCAGAGGCCACTATCTAATACAAATTAGTTAAGCATGCTTATTCCTATTGATTTTAAAGGGCTTAAGCACTCCCAACTGTGGGTAACGTTCATAGAAAAGCAGATAATGACTATGGGGAGGAGTCTTTTTCTTTTTCATTATTTAGGGCAAGAAAGAGAGAAAATGAAGAGTTAGAATTTTGAACAGTAGCTTCTAAGTCAAAAGATGCTTGAACAATAAGCTTACTGAGGGGTAGCTGTGTTAGTCTGCTGCAGCAAAAATGATTAATTTTATGGCATTTTCAGATTGACAGATTTATTAAGGCATAAACTTTTGTGGATTAGAGCCCACTTAATTAGGTAAATAAGGTGTGGTTCTGCGTTGGATGACTGTATTATGATGAATTACTGCTTTTGAGAATAGACACTGTGCTTATCTTGAATGCAGTGAAGCACAGAACTGCCATGAAAGGCCCCTCTTGGATTTCATAGAGCGGCCCGTGTGTGTGTGTGTGTGTGTGTGTGTGTGTGTGTGTGTGTGTGAGAGAGAGAGAGAGAGAGAGAGAGAGAGAGAGAGAGAGAGAGAGAGAGAGGGGGGGGGGGGGGGGGGGGGGGGGGGTGGGGTGGGGGGGTGGTATATTCATGTATCTGATGCTATTCATGATGTTATGCCATTAGAGAGAATTACTCATCAGTAGAGTGGGAAAGCATGACCTCTCCCTTGTGTAGCCTGGAGTAGGTGAGAACATGGAAAACCTTTTATGATGAGGCCATTGGTTAAACACCTTTCTCTTCTCACAGTTATATAATGGCACCTCCAAGGACAAATTAGGGTTTGTTTGTTTAGTCATACACCCCTTTAAGACACAACCTTCTAAATATATATAATCTATCTTGACCCCTTTATAAATGGTGGGATATTTATTACTTTACTTGTTCATGTATTGTTACCTTTCTGTACTTTTGCATCTTATAAAATTGGTCTAAAGCCAGTTCGTCATGAAGGTTTCTAAGACCAAAACAATTAAACACAAAATCCGGCAGTATCATCAGATGGCTGACAATTAGCATCTTTACTTGACCAGTGCTACATGATATGCATTTTTTTTTTTGCTCCTGCTGGAAAGCAATATGATGTTTCAGTAATAGGCCAAACATAGTTGTGTGTTTTTTTTTTTCTGTTTTCAGGATTGTTGTTAAAAAGATGTACCTTACTGTTGCCCACAAAAGAGAGACTAAAGTACATACACAAGATACTTTCAGAAGTAAGCATAAGAGCTTTAAAAATGTTAAACCTGTAAACATATTAATTTCAGCTAATGTACATAGGTAAATTGAAAGGTGTCTTTTTTTTAATCTATAGATTTCCTGTTTTAAGCTTAGTGGTTGCTCAGATCCTTTGCACTGTTCAGGACTACAATGTTACGGAGTGTTTTTACAGGTAAAAGCAACAAAGAATTTGTGGCACCTTAAAGACTAACACATTTATTATGGGATGAGCTTTCACATAGTAAGAGTCTAGTTCATCAGGTGCATGAAGTGTTATTCAGCATTACAGGTATATCCAGGGTTGTGGGAAAGGCAGGAATTTTGAACAGTGAGGGAAATTAAATGCAGAAGATAGACTGTGATAATTACATTATCAACTGTGTAGTTATTCACAAAATTGTTGCTGGGTGATGATACAGCTAGCTTAACACTGGGGAGCTGATTAACACATGCAGTGTGATTTGTTTTCTAAACACCTTTGCAGCTATTTCAATCACAGCAACGTTGAATCTCTTGATAAATTATACTTCAGCTGTCCCTTGTTGCAATCTTTTTGAAGTTCTTTTGCCCCAAAATGGCCAATGTAAGGTCAGTGAAGGAAAGTTCTGGAGGATTGAAATGCTCTCCCACTGCTTTGTGAATATTACAATTTCTGCTGTCAAAAATGCCCTTTTATTCTTTTGCCTGTTTGTCCTATATCAAACATACAGGTTTTCAAGAGCTAAGCATGGCTGTCAAGGACAGGGCATTTTGGAAGGCATTCATTCATAGGATGGCCTTAAATCAGAGACAACTGGAGGGGGTATAACAGCAACAGAATGCAAAAAGGCATTGCTAGCAGATGCTTTTGGGGAGGAACCACCTCTGATTTTTCCCTCAAAGAAAATCAAATTTCTAAGACTTTCTTTTCTTTCACCTTCCATTCTCCTTCCTCTCCATTTTGGTGTCCCCCCCCCCCCCCCCGCTACAAGGAAAAACAATCAGAAGGGAGCAGTTGCTGGGGACAACCAGCGGTATTTAATTTTCCCATGACGTCAGTGCTGCCTTGCAAATGTCCCTCATGTTAATTAGCAGATACATGTTTAGAAAACACGTTTTCTGTTATCATGTGTACTTCCCTCAGCTTTGGAAAGCCATTTCATCATTACCAGTTATGGATTAATGGTCCTTCTTCCCCACCCCAAGTGCACGGAAAATGTCCAAAACCAATAGTCTTATTAACTAGTGAAACAGGGATGAGCATGAACAAATAGTTGAACAAGCTTTTCCTCTCACATTACATGCTTTTGCAACACATAACCAGCACAACAGATCAACTAAGAACACCTCCATGTTCAAAGTGCAGTTGATGGGTTGGACCAATAGACAGACCAATTGCAATATGCTAATTTCATAAAAGCATGAGTAAATTAAAAGCAATAGGGATATGTAGCAATAGGCTTGTAGACAAGGCTGGGCTAGGGGCCTTGCTCCCTAAAATTATAAATTAAAATTTGCAAGCAAATTATTTTTAAAAATCATAAATCTGTCTTTTAAAAGCCTACAAACCAGATGAATTCAATCCCCACTCAATTTTTGGCTGCCCTCTGGAAATGTTTGGTTGTCTAGGGATCTGAGTTATTTATTTCCCCAAATCACCATAGGAAAGGAAGAGGGTGGGCTGGATCATTAAATGTTGCTGAGTGATGCCTCCATGAATTCCAGGGGATAAGCTCTTAAGAATTCAGCTGCTATACCTGAAACTAGTTTGCTTTTCATGAACTAATTTGGGAATGTTAGTGTACATTGTAACCTATGTCACCATAAAGAGAGATGCCTCCTCTCCTTCTGTGAACCTGTATATCTCAATGTGCAGCACTGAATTAAGGTGCATATTTCCTACTCTGTATCCTATTTTCAAGCTACAAGTAGGAGCGTCTGCCCCTCTGGATGCTTTCAGATGTGCTCCAGTCTGCAGAGCATTTCTTCTGTTGTATTATGCTTTTGCCATAGGGGGCATGTTCCTGTGAAACACTAGCTCTCTTTTTGGGCCTTGTCGCAGCCTCCCTAGAGTATGGTGTAGTTATTAGTCTTTAGAGGACTGATCTCTAGCTCCAAGGCCGGGGGTTCACGTCTCTTCCTAGCTACTTGCATTAGTTCCATTGCCTTCCTTGATGCAGAAGGACAGTTGAGGTAAGCCAATGAAGACTGCAAATGAAACAGACATTTTATTAATTGAATTTCTATCCCACTTTGCCATCAAAAATGGGAAAAAGAAAGGAATCCCTGCGAATTTTACTCCATTAGCTGAACGGCTATGGGAGGTGGTGCTCATCTACATTTTTGAGGCCATGAGCCAGCACTGTCCGAAGATGTTCCCGTGGTCATGTGGCCAGCATGATGTCACGGGGTGCTCTTTCCTCCCCACCAAAGTGGTACCTATATATCTACTCGCATTACATGCTTTCAGATTGCTAGGTTGGCAGAAACTAGGGACAAGGCAGTGGGAGTTCCCCCATCCATCAACCTTTCAAGCAGCAGCTCAGCAGTTTAAAAATGACCAGCATTAAAATCAAGGGTGGCTAAAAATAAAAGCAAAATTAAAAGCAAATACTTAAAACATAGCTCAATACATTTAAAAGCAGAACAATTCAAGGAATAAACAGCAATCAATTAAAAACACCTTCAGCCACAGATTGGCCAAAGGTCTTATATACTAGAGGTCTGCCTGAATAAAAAATGTATTCTGTTGCCAGGTGAAGGCTAACAGCAAGGATGGCCTTAAGGCCTAAGCTTTCCTAGGCAGAGAATTCCAGAGCCTGGAAGCAGCTACAAAGAAGGCCTTCTCTTGTGTCCCCACCAAATTTTTCTCAGATGGCAGCAATTTCAAGACAAAGATTTTCCCCAGGCTCAGAAGTCTTAGAATTTATAGAAATACACGCACAACTAAGAGATTTTAACGCTTTCAGAGTAACTTGGTGACATTCATGCCGATATTGCTGCATTTTCAGACCTTAACAGCTGGTTGGGATGAATTAGAATGTCATCGAGTTTACAATTTCCTCTGTGACCTGAGCAGTTTATCCCGAAGAATGCAGACAGTAGTCAGCAGCAAACCTGGTAAATATTCCATGTTACACAACCACATACTATAAATCTGGAGTTTTCTGTCCAGTGATCTTCTTGTTCTGAATCAAAGAGGGAAGAGAGAGATCATTGACTGAATTTATAGGAGTTCTCACCAAACAACTAGAGTTTTGCTACAATTTGCTGCATTGTAAGAACAATATATTTTTCTGCACAGAGATTGATTCTTATATTGTGATTTGCCCTAGGAAGTGTCAGAAAATTGGAGCTGAGGATAAGGATATTTTGTCGCAATGTCCTCTTAAACCATTGGATCCATCGAAGTGATTCAGCATTTTGGCTGACACGTATTTTAAAGCCATGGCCAATGGTGAATCAAGCCCGGCTACTATATATAATATTTGGGCCTGCCTCTACTCTGGATGGTAAGCTATTTTAATGAATAAAGTAGGACAGGTATTCACACTGATAGAGATCTGTGAATTCTGGGCAGCATCCAATCAGATGCTAGTGCTAACATAAATGACATTGTCCTACCATAAAGGACTTCTAGCACAATGCCAAAAACATTAACTGGCATGATGGGAATGTCCATGGGATATAGGGTGGAGCTTTCATGGATTAGGAGAGGGAGCCAGTGTCCAACCCCAGTTTCAACTTTCGTGTTGCCGTGGAAAGACTGGTTTGTTTATTTTATTTTTATACCACCCAAAAGCCAAGGCTTTCTGCATGGTTAACATAAGCGTATGGCCTCTCTTTGAGTCAAGGGGAAGTAACAGTATGATTGATGATCCTGGAGAAGTCAGCAGGAAAAGAGGGTGAAGAAGTCTGCTTCTGCTACCCTAGTTGCAAGTGCCTAAATTTGGATCTAATCTATGACCCCAGCTGCAACCTGCCTTAATTAGGGGAGAAAGTGCTTGACAGATTTTTACACATTAGAAGAAAGTCAGGTCTTCCTGAAACTTCCTTGCTCTCGCTCATCATTTCTCATCTGTATCTTCCTAAATCTTTTTGCATAATGCTTTGTCTAGCTTAGAACACATAAAATCAAGATTAAAATAAATAAATCAATGCTTCTCTGCACGTGTAGACTGCTACTTCCTCCTGTCAGTTTTGTAGGAAACATATCTTTGGATGGATGAACATCTAACTGCAGAATCTGCTTATAATGGTTAAACAAACTTACATCATCAATGCCCATGCAAGCATTGAAATCTCCATATATGACAATTCTACCCAATTAGTATTTACCAGTGATTTTTAAGCAAGATGATATATAAACATTCACCAGCATAAAATGAGCATTCAGGAAAGTAAAATAAACAGCAATTGCAAGAGAATTGCATGAACATAGCATTGCTGTATTTGCCTCTGTTTTAAAGAAACAAGACAAGGTAATCCATCACTGACCCTTCCACCTTTCTTAGAAGAAATATCTGGCAAAGAATAACATTTGTAACCATTAAGCATTATAGGTTCTCATTACCACATTTCTTCCAGCAGCATGATGTCAGAAGCAGTCAATAATTGTGGGTTTTGCCATGTTGAGCACCACCCTGTTACATTCAGTGATAACACTTTTATCTTAGCGCCCTTTAGAGCTCTGCACTCTGTTCAAATATTCTGACTTGTCTGAAAAACCAGTACCATTCATCTTATTCATAAAACCCCAGAGTGTGGTATTTATAGCTTCCTTAGAAGGAGGACTGCCCTTTTCCAAAGTATCTAATGCCTGGTAATTTAGCCAGGACTTTGAAATGGCACAGTCCAAGTTGTGTCAAATGCTATCATACTCCAGGGGTGACAGACTTTGCAGCCTGGCATCTATACTAGAGTTGAACTTTTCAGAATCTGTCCCTCTAGCATGTGTGGACTCCCTCTTATGCTCAGCCCAGTCCTGCAAAAAGAGCCCAGCCAAGAGGACATCTGTGAATGCTTGTAGATCCCCAGCTTCACAACTGGCACCCTTCCCCATCAGAAGTAGCGGCAGGACACAGAAGAGGGGCACTGCAAGTGGGCGCTCCACGCACCATCCCGGCAACCAGCCTTCTTCCTTGCTCATTGTGCCCAGTGGTGGCAGCAGGTGTGGAAGAGGGGTGCTGTTCTGTGCAGTGTTTGGGTCTTGATTCCTGCTACTTCAGGGCTGCTGCAAAGTAGACTGGCATCTGGGTAGCCAAACTGAAGGAATCCAACGATTTCCCACTCTCAAATGGATTCCTTGCACATCCCTAAGCTATACATTTAAAAGGCCTTGTGGTAATCATATTTTTCACTATACATACAGATGAGATAGCTTATGAGTGAGAACAAGTGTTTCCAGCATTTTTTAAAATCATACTGTTGTATCTGAATCAACCTGGATTGTAGCTTAGATAATTTGGTGATGATATTACATTGTTCCTTATTAGAGAGTTCTGTAAAGAGCTTAACGGTTTTTTCTGATGTTGTCTGGTCTAATGAGTCCAAAGCACAGTTTTCATGGGTTTCCTTACTTGGTGCAGCAACTGTTTAAGTCTCTTAAGTATTTTTGTACAGTCTGAATGCCTCCTTCAGATTCTATATGTGATTTATCGCACTGGCCTCTCCCTTCTTTAACACTAAGAACAAATATTAGCTTAAGCTGGAAAGAATTTACTCTTCGTATTTTTCCCTTTAGAAGTAAGTAGAGGTCTAAGCACTGTGTCTTTGAAATGCCACAAGGGGCCCGCTCCTTTCTGGACAAGCTGGGCCTTCTATTTCATAATTAACATTGAAATTCTATGGCTACTAAAAGTTAAGAGAATCTGCTTACAATATCTACTGCTAATTAGACCTTTGATTGATTTTAAATCTATGTCTCCTGCAGTGGGATCTAATAATAGGTTTGATCCCCTATAAGGAAAAATATAGAGCACAACTTCACAAGATCTCAGTACCAAACCGTTTGAGTGAGTAGGTATTCCAGCTTCTTTAATTCTCTCCAGTAGTGCATAATTGTGCTTGCTCTGCCCCTCCCTGGGCTGTATTACTGGAGTTGCAAGGGTGCATTGTAGTTTGTAATTGAGTAGCCTCGTAACAATAAAGCCCAAACACTCAAAAATAGTTTGAGCTGTCTGGCTAGTCAACACACAACACTCCCCCAACGACTTCACTGTTTTGTCTGACAGTCTGTATTCAACAAAGGAATATTAGCATAATTAGCCTTATCCTTCTTTTTAAGTCCAGAGAGTATCTGCTCAGCTATTCTTGTATAAAGCGAAGTAAAATGATTCCATAGGGGGATTGTGGACTCTTTGACAGGCAAAGCATAAATTATCCATACTACTCTGTTTGAAAGTTGAGGTCTCTAAATCACTGTTTTTATCAGGGTACTTAGTGTCTTTTTGCTCCTTGCATTCTTGCTTCCTGCAATGGTGTCCAAACAACCATACTCATTAAGCAAACAAATATAAGGAATTCATGGAGAAATCCACCACCTTGCAGATGCTTCTACACACATTCACTCTATTCCATTTTGCTGCTCAGGTTGACCACTGTAGCTACCGTGCAGAGCTGAAACAAGTCGTCTTCCATTACTCTGCCCTGTCAAATCTTGATAAAAAAATAAACTGAAATGAATTTCTTATGCATTCTTACTAAAGGGGTAAAGTATAGTGATTGGGCTTCCAAAATGCAGCATTCGAACTTCACAGGAAGAGGTGGAGTTAGAATGCTTACCCGAATTTGCAAGGCTAACAAGCTGAAAGGTAAGTCAAGAAGCTGGTGAGAAACAGGCCAGCTCTGGTTTGGGGAAAGGCACTTGTGGAATGAAGGTATGCTGGCTGTTTGGATGTTTCCAGAGGAGATTTTTATCTTGCTATCGCTCTGCCTTGTTCACAAACTTTTACACAGTTTCAGAAGTCATTGTTTCCCTGCTCTCATATTTTTCTATCGGTTCTTCTGTCTTTTCTCATACTATGGCCAATTTGCTAAAGAATACAAAATAGAATGATGGCAAAATGTTCAGTCTTGAATAACCATGTTTTAGTCACAACATTTTTTTGGGGAGGTGAGGGGCTTCATCACTTCATTCATTTGTAATTTTCCCATGTTTTCCCAGTGTTGCTTCTTTATTTTCTTTTTTTTCTTTTTAAAGGTCTGAAGAATAGCACAGTTTCCACAGCTGCAGTTCCACTTAATGCTACCCTTTAGTATTTTTAAGCAATATGGGCAGTTATGTTTTGGGCAAATGAATCATCACAGTTCAATACACATTCAGTGTAGCTTTTGCAGGGGGCACTGTTTTATAACCCTATTAATTTTGAAGTGATCTTTTAATTAGAATTAGCATGTTTTTATAGCTATAATAAACCCTTGTACAGTCGCTGCCATTTTAGCAATGTGGTTTTTTTTTTAAATTAAACACTTCACTTTTTTTGACATTTAATGAATAGAGCTAACACAATTACCTCTTTTTCAATTTCAGGGAGCGGGCAGGTGGCCATGTTTACTTTTTTCCAAAGCTTCTCTCTTCCTTAATTTCTCTTACGGTTTCTGTGATACAGGACATGTGGTTTGGCCAAAAATGATAGAAAGTCCAACAGATGAAACCAGTTTGAAAGGGCTAGCAGATGCAATTAAAGTACTGTATGATGCAGAAGCAAAGGAGTGGACAGCAGATGATGTAATCAGTCTGGTGGATGAACTCACAGGTACATCACTGCCTTTATTCTATTAATGGTTTCCAAATCCAGGAAATGATCAGAGAGCTACAGAAATGAGACTCGGTTTGGATGTCTCATGTTGAGTACCAAGAATTTTAACAGAGGGCTAAGAAAGACCCTTTTCTGAAATGCTGGAAAGCCTCTCCAAGTGAATATGGACAAGCTAGATAGGCCAGTGGTCTTACTCACAATAATATTCCTTTTTTTATTATTCACCACCTCTTGATGCCACAAATGAACTAGAAATGAAAGAAAGAAGCTAGACCAATAGAGCAAATAGAAAGGGGAAGATTCAGCATTGACACCCTCACATACTTATTTTATGGTTAACCCAAGGTCCCACTTAATGTGTGTGTGTGTGGCGGGGGGCAGGCACATGAAATGGAAGATATGCTCACTAACATCTAACTTGACCTTGAGACACTGGAAATTTAGGTATAGACTCTTTGGAACATTAATGTATATCATGTTGCCATAAATTCCTTATTTAAACAATATATTTCATATTCCAAGACAAACCTCACATATATATCACTTGCTTATATTCCTAAGACACTTTGGAAATTTATGCATAAAGAACAACCCATCATTGGCTATTGTTATGAATGGACAGGTTATTAGTTTAGCTTTTGTTTTAATGTAAACAATTCTTCCATGTAGCTTTCAAATCACACTGCACAACACTGTATTATATGCAGTTTTGGGATTGCTGCTGCTGTTTGGTTGGTTGGTTGACTGTACAAGGAAAAGGAGAAATATCTAGGACTGGTAGCCCCAGAAATAGTTGTATGTGTATATTATAGATAGCTACAGAAGAAAGCTGCCAAGCATTTTTGAAGTAGCACATAGCAGCAGAATAAATGAGAATAGTCTCTCATACTTTTTATTGTATAATTTTGGGAGTTTGTCTGGGAGTGGGTAGATTGTTTCAGATTAATTTTCCTGAAACCCAAATGTCATTAGTTGAGTGTCAGTAATGTATTTTGTATTGTAAGTATTTTGTAGAGGCCTGAATGGAGGGAAATCAAATAAAAGCCTTTCAGTTTTTGAATGATAGAAGCCTCAGGCTTAGGGAAGTGCATGAGAGGGATACTTGGGAATGGCTGGATGCTATAGCTCACACCCCCAAGGGAGAAGAAAATGTAGGTGTCTGAGACATTTCTGTTAGTCCATCTATGCTGTAAGTATTTAAGAATAGATAATCTGATTGAACTGCAGCAACAATTTCTATTTTTTCTAATATTTGTGTTTAATTAAGGCATTGCCCCATAGCATCAGCTGTATCAACTTTTCAATCATTTGAGCACAATCATGTGGATATTTATTCACTGAGCTGCTTCTTATATAACATTAAACCATGATTTATTTAAAGGTTGGACAATTTCCAGAGGTTCTCAACCAATTTGATCAAACCCATAGCATGGTCTGCAATGTATGGAATTCTGCATAGACACCAGGCCACACCCCTCCAAAAAAACAAAAACATGCCAAAATTCAGCAGTGACCTGCCATATCGGGCCTATGCTGTGGCGGTGAAGGCGGCGAAAAAGAAGTTTTTTTCCGCTTCCATTGCCTCCTCACAATGCCGTCCGTCGGAGCTTTTTCGAGTGGTGCAAGGCCTGGTTCGCCCGGGTCCTAAGGAAGACCCGATGCCACCCTCAAAGGCCCGCTGTGACGACTTTGCCAGGCATTTCAGGGAGAAAATCGCTCAGATTCGTCACGAGCTGGACTCCA